TTCACAACTATGGATATCAAACATCGCGCGAACCAACTGTCGGCGCCATGACAGGGGCAACCATTCACCCTCTCTGCTGCATGCTACATCGTTCTCCGGTGAACCCCCATCGCACTCATGCTGTCTGTTGGACGGTCTCAACGTTGAGCTACGCGGCGAATAATGGCAGCGTCTGCTAGGAAGTTCTGTACCCAAGCCACGCTATCGGTCGTAATTCCGGGCGCATAAAGCTTAAATACCATGTACTTATTAATTCATTTCCCATTTGAAAATAAGTTTTTAGTGGCTAATCTCCCAATTCTTAGGGCATGTTTTCTGCTCTAAGTCCTTGTTCGGATATCATTAGCAATGCGCTGCTACTCGTTACCACAACTGGTGTGCCTCCGGGCCTTGTCAAAACGATACTACTTATCTTGTCCTTATACGCCGTCTTGGGACTTTAGCACTAGAACTTGCATATCAGACGCAACAATATTGAACTCAATCATGAATAACTAACAGACCAAAGAACATTAACTATCCCGAAGATGCAGCTTAACTGTCTTGCAACTTCCAGGATGCCATTGAATTGATATCGTTCTATACACTACACTTGCAGCGTTCTCAAGTATGCCTAGCTTCGATGAGGCACTATGAAACTAAACTAAGTTTAAGTAACGCCGAAGTATCTGTTGCTTGTTCAAACGACAATAACAGAACAGCAGCTAAATTCATCTAAATCTTGAGCGGGCTTTCGGCTAAACCTCCTTCAGGCCTCGATACCACGTTGAATACTTGCAAGGAACAGTTGTGAGATTCTTTATTTTCATTTGCTGCAATGGTCCACTTCGCGTGCCCCTAGGCGCATATTTAGCCATTTATATTTACTACGGCTTTCATTTTTTTCTAAACAGTTTGCCCACCATCTCGTTCGTAGGTGGACAGGTAGGCACCTCTAACACCGTGTGTACTTATATATAGACCGTGTGTACTTATATATAGACCGTGTGTAATTGTATATACATCGTGTGCACATATATATACATCGTGTGTACTTATATACACACCGTGTGTACATAAATATACACCGTTTATGCTTATATATACACCGTATGTACTTATATATGGGTGCTGTGATTGTAGGGTTTCAGTTCAGGTGCCTACCGAATATATTGAGTCCTGTGAACTCACTGTGAATTCAAAATTGCTCTGCAGTTCAGTACGCTCCAGGCGACGTTATTGTATGATGGCGTAAACGCCCGTATGTGCACACATGCCAAAGGTAATGTAAACGCCCGTGTGTGCACACATGCTAAAGGTAATGTAAACGCCCGTGTATGAACATATGCCAAAGGTAATGTACACGCCCGTGTGTGCACATATGCCAACGGTAATGATCAGGTCTGCCCCTCAAGCCATTATCCAGAACGGGTCGGAAGTAGAACGAACGAGCGTATCTCTCTCTCCCACATGTGGCGCAGACCTCCGCATTCCTCTACGGTTGAGTTGGTACCATCTGACTTGGATGTATATGTCCAGTTTCTGGTCGGATACGGACTGTTTGGCTATTTTTGGACTGGGCCGAGGAAGCCCTAAATTTTCGTGGGGGGTTAGTCCGAGTGCGGCTCTGTGGCACAGTTTCTCGGATGGGTTCCACATTCGCGCATCATATCCAAGACCTAAATAGTGCTTATCCACGTACGGATTAATGACAGCCATGATTGCTCAGGCAAGACTGCTCTCTCGCTAATACTGAGGTCTGATTGGGTGCTTACAATAGTCATATATAGCCGTTAAGCCGTTGTCAAACACCTGCTAAAGCACCGTAATAGCGCTACACGGGTTCATTGCGTGTGTGGGTGGTCTATTTAGCACCTCGGCACAATTCAATTGCCTAAGATGGCCAGGAATGATGTCTCGGCTCTAATTGTGGCCTGGTGTAATCGGGTCTACATATTATACATATATTA